GAAAAAAGTTCTCCAGAAGATGTACAATTAAGTAAAAGAATCGAGAAAAGAATAGCATCTCTAAGAATACATGTGGAAAGAGTTAGTTAATTTAATTTAACATGTTAAAACCACATTCGTGTGTGAATTTTAAGCAAGTACATTTACTTAGTAATATCTGCATAATTGCTTGTTAACTTACAAGAACCTATTTTGTAAGAGTAAATATTAATTTAATAAATTTTTTTTGTTTGTTTTTTTAATTTAATTTACCTAATTATCACATTTCAGGGATTATAATGAGTTTTTAAACAGCCAATGTAATTTTTTATAAAATTTTAACTTTTCGAACAAATCAAAGAGGAATGAGTACCTGTATATGCATAGATTTTTTTGGGACTAAAACTACCGAAACAAAGGCACCTATTTACAGCAGTTTAAAATGAAACAATTTGACAAAAACGCCTATGTCACAGTGATAAATATTAAAAACAACCAAGTTCAGTTGAATGTGGTAGCAAAGTCTATATATTCCAATAAATCGGGTAACTACATGTGGTATCACTGGTGATAAATTTAAAAATATCACAATTCTTGCCACCTTTTTCAAAAAACCAGAAAGTGTGCCTTCATACCAATCCTTTATGAAAATGACAACAGTGATAAATGTGAAAAAAAAAAATTTAATGTTGCTATTCATTATTACGATAGTAAAACATGTTTGCAGTTCCGTTTATTTGTTATGAAAATCTAAGTAAAAACAACCAATGTCAAAGGGTTATAATTTTTTTTCTGTCGAACCAAATATATCACAAAATTTAAAAATTGATCATAGGTCAAGCTAAAGTAATATCTTTATTGATACTAGCTTTAAAAAAGGAGAAAGAATAATATTGACTTAAGTTATTATTATTAACATTGGTGATTTTTAATAAAAACTCTTCAATTATTGTTTACAAACAAAAATATAAAAATCTGTGAAAATTTTATTTATTAACCTTTTAATAAAAAATGAGAAAAATGAAGTAAAAAAACAATTTATTTACAAATAAAAAATATATACAAATCCTAAGAATATAAAAGTACTGATATATTTTCCTGTAGTGGATGAAGAGGTTTCTTTAACAATCTAGCCAAGTGTACATCAATATTTACGCATTTTGATAAATTAGAGCCTTTCCAATAACACTGAGTAGATGTTACAGATGGTTCCTCACTTCTTCTATGAAGCCACATATTTACAACCAACTGAAAAAAATAAAAGGGTTAGATATGCAGTTACAAAATAACTATATAACCAGCTACAAAATGCCTTTATTTTATGTAACAAGACGAGTAGAGCTTTACTAGCTCTGAACGAATCCAGTAAAGAACCTCGGATTTTCAAAACTTAAAAAAAAACAACCTCACCACATTTTCACATTTTTGAAATATTATAGAGCTTTTCAAAAAAAACTGCTATTTTTAAAAATACAATTTTTTGTTTAAACAGCTATGTCTCATTTTAGGCTATTGAGTATTATAAAATAAAAAATTACGGGATGCTTTGTTAGCTTCAAACGAATCCAGCAGAGCACCCCAGTTTTTTTTTAAACCACACCACGTTTTTTGGCTCCTACAATATTATAAAATATTCGAAATTTGGCATTTTAAAAAAGATTCGCAATTCCTTGCTGACTTCTAAAAACAAATGTACTTACCACATTTTTAGGATTTTAAAACAGCCTAAACATGTGTCATAAGTAGTTGTTTTTATATATATATATAAAAAAAAAACAAATTAAAAAACTGAAGTGTCCTGCTGACTTTGTTCCAACAAAGCACCCTGTATTATTTAAAAATAGCAATTTTTTTAGTAAAGTTTTACAATATTTCAAGAGTCTAAAAATATTCTAAAAATGGGGTGTGGTTTTTGAAAAAAGCTTTAAAAAAACCGAATTGCTCTGCTGGCTTCTTTCAAAGGTTAGCAAGCACCATGTATTTTTAAAAATATAATATTTCAGGTTGCTGTTTTTACAGAAAAAACTTTATAAAACAGAGGTGCTTTGCTGACTTCGTTCGAAGCTATAGAGCATTTTAAGTTTTGCAAAAAACGAGGAGCATAAAATTTTTGAAAAGGGTATAAAAATAGCCTATTCTTTGGTATCATAATTATTACTAGGTTCACTAACAAAATCTGTTTCTAGATTATTTTAACACTTGCTGCGATTACAAAAAATGTCTATATGTCAAAATTAGAAAAAAAATATTTATAGTAATAAAGGGCCTTATACACTGTTTATTATATGTAATATAAAAACAAAAAAGCATAATAAATATTACAAACCTTGACATGCAGCATATTGTGCACTAAAATTTTCATTTTTGTTAATTACAACAACAACATCAGAAGGTTTTTGCCGTACTTTATGTTTAGGTGTAATTTGTCTCCTTGTCTCTTATGGAAAAAGAAATTATCCCCATATTCTTGCTTGGCAGATCTAAAAATAAAACCTGAGATAAATACGTTTTACTTGCTCCATATAAACTGTAACTACCTACTATTAAAACAAAGTCTTACCTTTCTAACTTTTGTAAACTGAGTATTGTTAAAAAATGCAGTAATCATCTCGGTAATCATATTTTCGTTTACAATGGGTAAAACACTTGATTCAACTTTTATAAATCCAGCTGATTCATATTAATAATAAAATTAAACCAAAACCAGGGCTGGATACCAGCCATGGAGGAAGGATAATTAAGAGTTGCCGTTTCTTTGAAGAAATATGGCAACAGGTTTGCTTGCAGCGCCGCCGGTAAGGGATTTGTCCAACTATTTCTCAGTCGGTAATATAGATACCTGCATATTTTATTTTATTTAAAAATTAGCGGGAATTTGTTTGTAGCTCTACTTTAATTAGTATAACTAAAATTTTGCATTTTTATTGGCATTTTTTACAACACAGACAAGGTGCAAGATGTAACAAAATGCCAATCAAAATATAAAATTTTATGACCCATAATTTTAGGAAGGGTAAAATAATTTAATATAAAATAATTGTATTATCTATTATATCATTAAAACTAATTTATAATAAATTTTCTAAATAAACAATATTTTAATAAAACAACTAAAACTTTCTGTAAACTTGGGTAGGTAACAAAACACATTAAGGAGAACCATCCATATAATCTGAAACAGAAAAAATTCAAAGTAGTATTTTAACTTCATATTATTTTGAATCTCTTTTTTCTTTTAGACATTGTCACAGTTTTATACTTTCATTATAATATTTTATAATTAATAATGGTAGTCCCTTCATCTTTTAATTAGATGTAGTACTTTTAAAAAAACAGATGTCTGCGGGATCAAGCTTTGAGGTCCTTCTTTGATTCGCAAATTTTACTTTGCTGTTTTCTAATTATAAAATAGAGTTTATTCTCCCTTGGAGCTAACCACTCACTGGATTGATTTAAAAATCCAAGAGCTAATTATTGTTTTTTAGGTAATAATTATATTTCATTGGATGAAATTTTAATCGAATGTAACTTTCTTTTCACTGGTAATTTGTTCGACGGTATGATAACAATATTACTTTAGTATTACTCTTTACTGTTAATTTAGCTTTCAAGGGTACCAAAGGTAAAGCCAGTTTACAGTCTTGTAACCTATAAATGGTTTTTCGCAAGTGGAATGATGAAGTTTATGCGGCATCATTTAGTTCCTTGCTTAATATCGGAAGGAAATAAAAAAAATATGTTCTTAAAATGTACAGCATAAATTGGACAGTAAATTGTACTATTTACCTTTATACAAACAACGCTATTACAATTAGATATTATGAATTTATTACGAACAGGACCTCCTAAACACATGTTAAAACATCAAAATATCTTTGCTTAATTTTAAATTTAACATGTTTAACTAAAACTAAAATTAAATAAAAGTAAAAGTACTTACCACGTTTTATTCAGCAACCATAACCATATTGTTTTGTTCAGTTTTGTTATTGTATCGGTTCGAACGGGTGACAATCCCAAAGTCAGATTTACATTGTACAAATAATTGATTAATTCATGTTTTTCAAATAATTGTAGTATTTATATAAATATATAATTTTAAAACAATACTTACCGTGTATTACTTTTGTTATTAAGCGAAATATATTTGAATTATTCAATTATTCAGTGTACTTTAAATTTAAATATCATTTTATTATTGTAAAACGGACTGATATGCGCGGATGTGTTGCGCACTAACCTGTTGATATAACGCGCATATGTTATAAGCCCCCCTGATACCAGCCCTAGGGATGTTGCGATACTACTGATATGATACTGGTATCGATACTTTTCTTTCGATACCGGGTAATTTAGTACCCGATACTTTGCTTTCGATACTTTACTCATATGAGTACTACTTTTGTTTCGATACTACTACTTTCGTTTTAATATTTTACTAGTTTTGACTTTACAATACGAACAAAAAGTTTATTATTGTAGGATCACTTTATGATATGATATGTCGGCGTACCCTATGACCTTTTTTTTTATTGTTCTGTACTCTTCCCTATATTGGTATCGATACTTTCGTTCCGATACCCTTTCGATACCGGTATCGATACTTTGGTTCCGATACTCCTTTCGATACCAGTATCGATACTTTACTGGTATCGCAACATCCCTAACCAGCCCTGACCAAAACAAAAAACTAAGGTTAGGTGCTGTCAATTTTAATGTCACTTAGATGTGCGTTCACTTCGACATTCTGTGTGTCGGTTTGTTCGTTGGCTTGGTTTTGTATAACAAAAAAAACTTCGACACAAGATGATTGGTCTATTCCCGATGACGTATAATTTCAAATTTTAAATTTCAATTGGGCTTAATTTAAAAACTTTTGGCTTTTTTAACGAACTGACTATTTAGAATAACTTGTATAGCGACTAACTATTACAATATAATTTATAAAACAGCATATCTCACATGTGAACATGGCCCATTATATTATACTGTAACTTATGTAAACTAGATAAGAAACTGACCTGGACCCCGTACTAGGCGGCGATAGGTGTTCGCTAGGCGTCAACGCGATTTCCTCGTGCGGACCCAACGTCCTCCACATTGGCTGGTCCTCCAACGGCCACAATTCCACTATCGCTTCTCCTAAAAAATCGTTCGCTCCATATCGCACGTAGTCCCATACGGTTATTTCTAAAGCACGTAATCGGAGATCGGCTCTCCTCAGTCCTGAGTACACGAATGTCTGATTCCACATAGGCTCAGTCGTTCCTAGAACAAAAAAAAAACAGTTTTGTTTGTATCAAATGATCACAAAGAAAATTTACATTGAACTGTAACATGTTGATGATGAGGTTATAAGAAAACTTAGAAACCGGTCATGATTAAATAATTCTGTGAGATCCTAAAGACCTAGTTTTATTTATTTTTCTTTATTTCGCATAATATATCTTACTGCGCTTCCCCATGCAAGCTAGAATACCATATCTAAGATGACTTTGACTATGGCGTGGTAAAAAGTAGTTAAATAGCTTATGAAAGATATTTTTTTATAGATTTGAACTTGTATAAGATACAGTTCTTGTGTAGTATAATGTATATAATATTTCCACTTCAAATGACTGTGGCGTGAATTTTTATTCATGGAAATGTCGAGGTGATTAAATTAGAGGAGACAACTAATATTGCATCTAACAGGTACGTATCTGGTCTTGTCTAAATTAACAGTAAGTACTTTGTTGTCGAGCCAAGTCTCAATATCGAGAAAGTTTCTTCTAGAGAATGAAATTGCACCATTTATGTAGATGATGTTGAATAAAATTGGACCTAGAACTTTTACAGACTGGTAAAGATACTTTTAAATAGACTAGATATTTTCTCTAATACCAGTTTTTTTCTAGAGATTGTTAGAGCAAGTGATGTTAACCGTATCGAAAGCTTTAGTGATATTAAAAAAACAAATATGGAAAACTTAATCTGAAATATTATTTCCAATTTTTCTTATAAATGGGTTGGTTACAAGAATAAATATATTACTGCCATGTTGGTGTTTTAATATCAAATTAATTTGAGTATAGTTTACTTAGGTTAGTGTAAAAATGCTTGCATAAAATTTGATGCATATCATATGGATTATGAATTAGGTATTATTTTAGAACAAAAAAAATAGAGCCAATAGTATTGTTTTAAAAAAGTAAACTGAAAACAGAAGAATTCTTAGAAATTGGATTTGCTGATCTTGACTTTTGTGGTCTGGGTTGGAAATAGCTATTTGTGCATTAAGAGCGAAAAGTAATACTTTGTCGCTAGCAAGGCCGGCCCCAGTGTAGAGCGATCCGGGCGGCCGCCCGGAGCGCAATGATCTAGGGGCGCCAAAATCATGGAAAATGAAAATAAACTAATAAAAAAATTAAGTTACAGGCTTTTATAAAATGCACTAAAAAGTAAAAAATGTTTTTTATCATTCTGATATCATATCAATAAATTATTTTTCATAATATTGCATTGTCATCGGTTCACGGGAATTTTCTCAAAAACGCGTTGCAAGATTTGACTGATAGTTGACAAGATTAAGAAGCGGCAGGCGGAATTTATTATTTTTATTTCTAAGCACATAATTTAAATAATATAATATATTTAAACATTAAGGCAAAATCTAGTTGAATTCAATACCGCCTTTCAAGAATTGACAAGTTTTTCGGCCCGTGGCAACACGACTGTACAGGAAACAACAATTTTGAATCCAAGCGAAACAAGATCTAACAACCCTTTTTAACTGCATATAAAAAGAAAGTAGACTTGAAACAATGCATTATTTGCCACTAGACTTCGGCTGGTGCGAAATAAAATAGTTTTCCGCCTACCTCTATCCAAAGTATACATTTTCTGGCCTTATTGCAGGGAGCAAAGTCGTACTTTTCCTCCCTAGGGAGGAAAAGTACTTTTACTCCCTAGGGAGAATAAGTAAAAGTGACGTCATGGTATGTCATAAATGAAATAGCTTATACGGCATTGACGACCTAAACTATATTCTATTATATAAGTATAAATTTTACCGTTTATTTATAGAACACCCTGTATTTTGCAAAATAGTAAAAACCAGTAAATTGTTATTTTAATTTAACGATTTTTACATTAATAATTTGACTTCAATTCATAGATTCATCCGATTTTCGAATTTAGGACAGAAATATTATAGCAGGCTATGGTCGATTGACAGATCAGTTTCAAAGTGTGTTACGCTATAATATATCTACAAAATATAAAATAATATTTAAAAAATGAGTGATTTAAGGAGGTCCTTTCGCCACCAATGTTAAATAAAAAATATTAGATTATGACTAAAATTAATTTTTTTCTAATAGTTAAATTCCTTATTTATCTAATAGTGAACTTTTAACTATACCTTACCGTGCAAATTTTTGAGAATTTTTTTTTAAATGTTAGTATTTGTACAGTGTCTTACGAGAAAGTAAGACTTTAACAACAATTTTCGAATTATAATTAAGTATACTAATATTTATTGATTAGATGGAGTAGAAAAAAACTAAAAATAAGGTTTTCGAAATATTTAGGTTTTGTTTTTTACAATAAAATATATAGGTCACCGTGGAATTTATTGAGAAATTAATATTAAAAAATCACAAAAAATTTTCAACTAGGTTACTTGAAATTTTTTTTTTTTATATTAATTTCTCAATAAATTCCATGGTAAACTATATATTTTATTGTAAAAAACAAAACCTAAATATTTCAAGAACCTTATTTTTAGTTTTTTTCTACTCCATCTAATCAATAAATAATAGTATAATTCGAAAATTGTTGTTAAAGTCTTACTTTCTCGTAAGACACTATACAAATACTCACATTTTAAAAAAAAAATTCTCAAAAATTTGCACGTTAAGGTATAGTTAAAAGTTCACTATTAGATAAATAAGGACTTCAACTATTAGAAATAAAATTTTAGTCATAATCTAATGTTTTTTATTTAACATTGGTGGCGAAAGGGGTGGAGAAAGGACCTCCTTAAGCGAATTTGAAGATATAATTAATACACCACCGGATATTTTGGAACAGGTTAATGCAACAGTACAATCTCTATTACCCCAAAAATCTAAAGAAAAATACGAAAAACAATATTTACATTTCAAGCAATGCGCCGAAGAAAATTATTTAAAAATGACTTGTTATTTGAAGGAGGCGGAAAAATCATATGTATTACTTGGGAGTAAAGTGCCTTTTCCTCCCTTGGATGTTTATCTTCATCCTGCTGGAGGAAAAGTGGCACTTTCCTCCCTAGTAATACAAATGGCTATTGTTTAAATTGTTAGTGCAAAAAAGCTTTAAAAAAGTGTTTGTGCAAATTGTCCAGTGCGTTTGGCTTCTGTGAAGGTAAGTGTTTTAATTTTTATTTTCATTTTTAAAAACTAAAAAAATCCATCAGACAAGCCCAAAAAAGGGTGGGGGGTAGATTTCAAAAATTAGAGTTAAATCAAAACATGGCTTGTGTGGTATCAAATGAAAGGAAATTGAGTCTGTATTTGAATAAAATGCATTTTATTTTTTTAAGTCAGTGGCGCATTAGGGGGATTTCAAAAATTAGAGTTTACATCAAAAAATGGCTTGTGTGGTATCAAATTAAAGTTGATTGAACCTGCAGTTAAATAAAATGTATTTTATTTTTTTAAGCCAGTGGCGCACAAGGGGGGATTTCAAAAATTAGAGTTTACATCAAAAAATAGCTTATGTGGTATCAAATGAAAGTTGATTGAACCTGCAGTTGAATAAAATAATTTTTTTAAGGCAGTGGCGCACAAGGGGGGATTTCAGAAATTTTAATTTAAATCAAATTATGGCTTTTTTTGATATCAGTATTATCTTTTATTTTAATTAATTAGTTCTAGAAACCAAAATGTCCGATGCTAAGAGAAACCCCTCTGGGAGCGAATTAAAAAGCGGAGATTGAACAAGCAAACACAGCTTCAAAAACAGTCAGATGCGCTGCAGAATTTCTTGAAAGAAGGTAGTTTCGACGCTCCCACAACCGACCAACATTTGAACAACGCCCAGCACCTAGATACTGACTTTCCGGATATGAACCCCCCTTTGGACGCAACCGTCAGCATTACTGAGCTGGGTAAATCATCTCAAACGAGTTTGGCGAGTAGTGATGCAGTTCCGTGCAGTTCCAAAAATCAAAATTCGCAAGTTGTGCAGACCGCAGAGAAACATTTAGAAAAGGCTACCATCTAAAATATCTCTTCTGACCCAGGATTATGGCCCGAAATCATGCGTGTAGCAGATATAGTTTTTTTGGTTAAACGTGGTCCAGCTGCACCTTTGTATAATTTTGATTTTCCTTTTGATGATCAGCATAGAAGATTTTCACCAAAACATTACAAGAAAAGGCTTAGAAATGGATAAGAGATTTTAGGAGAATGGATGGTATATTCCGTATTTTAAAACGCTTTGTACTGTTTTCCATGTCGACTTTTTGCTTCACCATCTAGCTTGAGCGCTCTTGGCAATCGGGGATTTAAAGACTGGAAGCATTTAGGGGACTCTTTAGCACATCATGAAAGTGCTAAAATTCATATAGATTGTTTGAAATCATGGCTTGAATTGAAGCAAAGATTGAAAATAGGCGAAACAATAGATGCAGTTTCTCGGAGACTCATTGATTCTGAGATAAATCACTGGTCAGAAGTTCTTTTACGCATTATATCAGTCGTTAAAATGCTAGGTGAGAGCTCTCTAGCTTTTCAAGGAACAAGCGATAAACTGTATGAACACAACAATGGAAACTTTTTGAAGTTAATTCAGTTATTGGCTGAGTTTAATCCAAAAATGGGGGAACACGTTCGCAGAGTCCTCAATAAAGAAGAAATCAATTATTGCTTGACAACATAAAGCATCACATCATTGAGCAAGTTCAAAAGGCCAAGTATTATTCCGTGATTCTTGACTGTACTCCCGATGCAACTAAGAACAGATGACATTTGTGGTAAGATTTGTCTCCATACAGGAATAAGAGTCTGAAGTTCAAGTTAATATCAACGAACATTTTTTGGGTTTTCTACCCATTGAGAGATCAACAGCTAAGGAATTGTCGGGGGTTTTACTAGAAGAGCAAGAGAAAAATAGGCTTAAAGTAGAAAACATGCGCGGTCAAGGGTATGACAATGATTCCAATATGAGAGGAGAAAATCGGGATTACAAACAAGAATCAGAAATATAAACCCCAGATCATTTGATGTTCCATGCACCAGCCA